CTATTCCTGCGACAAATCTGCTACAGACCATGTTTATGTAAACAACCCCCCCCATCCCAGCCGCAGTGCTCAGCCCAGCTGTGCGAGATTGGCCGACAGACTCTGGGCGCGTCTACACTAGCAAAGAAGGGGCCTTCAGATCACCGAGTCTGCTAAACCATTGGAGCAAACATCTTGGGGCCAGAGCTAAGACAGGAGCCAAATTGCCCTGTCTCCTTGTGCCAGCCCCCTCCAGGGAGAGGGACACGGGCTTTGCCCTAACATGCATCCCTGCTATGGGGCCGGAGGAACACGCCCCCTCCCAGCTTGACCACGCCCTCTCTCCTTTGGTCCTCCCACGCCCTGTTCCTGCTCCACCCCCAGCATGGCCCCTTCCGAGATGCTGCATGTGGGTGCAGGTGTCAAGGGCCTCGGGGCAACAATGAACTGGACCAACAGGTGTCGCCTTTGTCTGCACTCCAGCGCCCTCTGCTGCTGGCACCAGGGAACTGCACCGGCCCTAGGGCTGGCGTGACTCCCTGGACCCCGCCCACGTGAGCTTGTCGAGTCAAAGCTGTGATCTTGTGGTGGGACTTTTTGCCGGACGCAGTCACGGGTTCCCAGTCAGACCCAGCACTATTGCCCCTAGGGGGGTCAGAATCCCCCAGAGCGCAGCCTGAAAAAAAACCCAGCTAGAAATTCCATCAGACCCCCGGACGCTGAGCGGTGAATACCCCCGACTTGCCCTTTGGTGGCTGGACTTTTGTGGACCATTCAGATCAAAAAACGGGGCCCGGAAAAATGTTTGCGTTACAGATAAGTGAACACGAGTACCAACTCCCAGAAAGAGGAAGCAGCTTCGCCATCTGCGTTTAACCAAGATAATTTTAAAAAATGAGCCAGTTATTTCTTCTTTTGCTCAGTTTGCATTTAGCTCACTTCCTGGTGTGAATCTGAAGTAATTACTGGCTTCGGTGCAGCGACTGATTCACTTGCACCTTGTGCCTGCTTTGGAAAGCGGGAGGAGGGGTGGGGCCTGAGACCTTAGTCTATCCAGAGATGATAAAACTGCCCTATGACCTCACAGGGTGCATTAAAGATTGTGAAGTGCTCAGATAACCGCGTAATGAGGGGCCATGTAAGTACCCAAGGTAGACAGGTAAAATGTTACGGCCTGGGCGTAGTAGAATTTTACCCCTTGTCCCAGCGTGAGTGACAACACAAGGTACAAGGCAAGGGGACGCCACAGCCCTCTGCATTTTCACTGGTGTCACTGAGATCCGACGCGGCCCACTGCGGCTTTTTAGACATGCCTCTCCAAGCGTCGGCATCCGCAGCTGAACCCGGCCTCCTTCGCTGTGGGCCTGGGACCATCTGGGGCCGCTCTCTGTACCGTGTAGGAATTCGGTATGAGATGCTGAGCTCTCTGGACATATCTGTATCGAGCTGAAAACTCCATTTTGAAGGTGCAGCCTTTTCTCTGGTGTCCATTCGCATCCCTGTGGGACCAAAATTCCAGCAGAGCTGTAGTGGTCCAGGGCTGAAGTGGACCAAGGCTGGAAATAGCAGGTCGTTAAATTGGGAGTGCTCGCCCATTGAAATAGAGTTGCTCAAAACCATAGACTGGCTTCCAACCAGGAGAACTGGTTTAGAGGTTGCCTGGCACTGTCGGAAGGCTCAGATCCTCCAAGGCATCTGGTGCCAATGGGAGTTAGGCACCTAAATACCTGTGAGCATCAGGGGTCAAGTCACCTGGGATCAGGGGGTCTGGAACCACCTGAGGAGGGTGAGCAGGAAGCCACCTGACAAAGGGGGCTAAGTTAGGGTTACCATACGTCCGGATTTTCCTGGACATGTCCGGCTTTTTGGGCCTCAAATCCCCGTCCGGGGGGAAATCCCAAAAAGCCGGACATGTCC